CTTTTGCTTCTAAACGCCTTGAAAAAGATCAAATAATGCAAAAATGGCAGCTGCGTTTGTTAAAAAATTAAGTATTCATTAGCTACACAATTTGGTTAAAAGTTTATGATACAATTTACTAAAGATTGACAAGTTGTAATTACTTACAAGAAAGCTCCCACTTAACTTTTTTCTTTTTTATTTCACTGACTTTTAATCATGTTTTTTTTCACAACTTGTTATTACTTTCAAGAAAGCTTTAACTTTTTTCTTTTTTAGATCACTGACTTTTAATCATGTTTTTTTTCACAACTTGTTATTACTTTCAAGAAAGCTCCCACTATTGTCTGTAACCACACCACACCAGGAAGATTACATACTTTTTATTAATTTCAAGGATAATTACATACAAGCATAAACAAAGTAACCACACCAGAAAGATAGTTAGAATGTGCAGGGGATTTAAATTACATGGCTTCAAAATACATCGGTTAAACATTGATTCAAGGTACATTGCTTAAGCATGCTTGCAATACTTTAACACACCTAACCTGCCCTATTACATAATTAGCGATATTAAATTAACATAACTTTCTATATTACATAAGTATAAAGCAAATACATAATTAGCGATATTAAATTAACATAACTTTCTATATTACATAAGTATAAAGCAAATGAAAATGCTAACGATAACAATACAAAACATCACCCTAACCATGAACATATCATTCTCCTTTTTTTCAATCACCTCAAGGTTCATCAATTTCTTCTGTAGACATATGTTCTCCTTCTCCAGTTCCATATTCTTTTTGGAAAGGATCATATTATCGTTGAACAAATCCATATTCTCCCTATTCAACTCATTAACTTTACTCTTATACCTATGAAGACCCAAATCCTCATCCAACCATACAAAAAATTTACAATCTTTTGAAGAATCCTACAAAAAAATGAAGTATTTGAGTAAACATCAGAGAAACAACATCAATCTTAAAACAAAAATCTTATACCATAGAATTAGGGCACCGAATGAAATGTCGGTATGGGTTCTTCTTATCTTTTTATCTTTGGTTGTTCACCACATTTACACAGTACGTTTTTGTAGCTAGAAGTTGAGGAGGAAGAAGAAGATCCATATGATCAATCTCCCATTTCAGTTGCACAACAAGAACTCAAAAGAAGAAGCAGAGGAACGCAAGTTTTAAAGAGAAGAATAATCAGATGCACCCATTTAACCTAGTTTTGCCATGTCATCTATTAAAACCCATGTCATTTATTAAATGACCGGCTGGTTAAGAGTAGCCGGTCAGAAAACATTAAAACAATCAAGGTCAAACTAAATAATGGTTAAATTGTACAAAAAAATAATATAAGGGTTTTTTTAAACATTGACCTATAATACATAGGGTTTTTCTGGGATTTTCCCTATATTTTCCATTAAAATAATAATATACAAAAATCATTATAAAAGCATAATAAAAATATACAGCAAAAATCATCCAAAGAAAGAAACAATAACATGTTATGAAACAAACATCGCCGTTCGAATGACTTTTACAAAACATGGCAAGTCAAAAGTCAAAACTATATCAAAACAATCAAGGTACACAAACTCAATTGAACAAATAAAAATAAAATCCATTTTTTTTAAAACTTAGCACAAAAATATAGCTTGCAGTAGCAACAACCCCTCAGAATGAACTATTCATCAATGTATAGAAATCAGTCCACTACTTTTAACGTTTTAATTTAAGTAAATTTCCTCATTGGGGCTAAATAACAATACAATTTGCAGATATGAATGTCTTTGCACAAATCAAATCCTCTAAAATTGCATCATAAAATGTTGCTTATTTAATGCGTACGCAAAACACCATCAAGAAAATTAAAAAGCACCTCAGAAAACAAATCTTACATGGGAAACAGGGAAATTAAACTGAAATAAAAAGGCTGATGTTCAAATTTATCAAAAAACAATTTCTCGAATTCATGATTCAGAACAGAAGTAACAAGTTTTCAGCTTCGGATTTTTAAGATTCAATGCACAAATGCATCATACTAAATAGAAGAGGAAGGGCAAATTCAAAGAAATAACACATGGAATCCTGAATTGAAGGGTTTAATCTAGTTTTTCAAACGAACATCTATCGAAATACCTATTATGAGGTCATGTAGTTCTGAATCCGCTTCCAAAATGATAAGCCGTCAAACCAGAACCCTAAAGGTAAGTCTATTAATAATTCAAATAAATAAACAAAAGAAACTAATGAGCTTTAACTTAGAAATTTTGAAATTAAAAGGTAAGTCTATTAATATAATGGATATCCATTTATTAGTACATTTATTGTAATTATTACATTAAAATATTATTTGGGATTTAATAAAATAAGAAAACCCATAAAATTAAATGTGTAAAAAAATTAATTCAAAATAACCATAAAATGATATTTGGCAAATTAAATGAGAGTGTGACATGTGGCAAAAAAACATTCATTTATTAGAGTATATTAACTTTGCTAAAATAGGTTGGTTAACTCAGTGGGTTTAGTAGCAAACGTCTTAAAGCTTCTAGATTTTTTTTTAATAAAGAAAATTGATTTAAACAAAAAACATTGCTTTCCTTGTTTAGGAAGGATGAGGATTTGAGATTGTTTCGGGAGGTGAAATTGACACCGACTCGGGAGCACAAATCAAAATTTTGTTTCCTTTCTTTTCTCTTCTTTTCTCTCCTTACTTTCTTTTCTTTTCTCTTCTTTTCTTTGCTACAACTCGGGAGCGGGGTGCAAATGTTTTGGGTTGCAACAGTTGGGTAGGTTTGGAGGCATGAGATGTTGATCAGATTGAAAGGGTACTTGCTGATGTTGCTGCCATTTTAGAACCTAAAGAGCACAAGCAAAAAAGTAACACTAAAGCCAGATTACATAAATGATAAAATCACTGTTGATATATTTAAGTAATTTGGTTTTTGGTTTCAACATTGTAGCTCATATTTCATGTACTCAGATTACTTAAATATTTAACTTGTTCTTATCGTGACTTTTAACATTTATGTATTTGTGTTGGCCTTAAATATGCTATTTGTGCAATGTTCATGTCAATTGGTAGGTAGTGTTTGATATACACCATGAATAATCTAGTAATCGTTTGATTAAGATTCTTTCTTGTTGATTCTATTTCGGTTTTTAACATTTATGTATTTGTCTCGGCCTTGAATATATTATCTGTAGTCTATCTGTCATAAAATTTCTCAGCAGTCCCCGAAAGTGAAGAAGTGAATCAGATTTGAGATTTGAGAATATGATGTTAATCTTTGAATTTGCATATGTATGTTTTTCCCATAAGTAATCTTTTTGATATTAATCTTTGAAGTTCAGTAATCTACCGTAAGTTAATGGTTACAGTGTGGCTTCTCAACTACTCCGGTCGCTTGGACCATGATATATTAACGCATAATCAGATTCAAAGCATAATCATATAACAAAACACACCAGAGAATCCAAGTTCAGCAAACAAAATCAGATTCATAATAACATAACAAAACACATCAGATCAGAGAATCAGATTCAGCAGTGCCACTTTGTCTTGAAAATGATATTCCAAATCCATTTCAGAGAAAATATCACTTAGCAAATCGATTTCAGAGATGGAGAAGAGACGAAAGAAAATCGATTTCACATAACAAATCAATTTCTGAGAAGAAAGAAAATCGATTTCAGATATGGAGAAGACAAGCTTACCGACTGAAGAACTCACTGGAGTGGCCGGAGGTGGGATTCGCTCAAGTTTGGTGGCCAGAGGTTCGAATTGGAGAGCGTATGCGATGTGTGGGTGTCGAAGGTATTAGGGCGGGTGTTAAATAAATTCGTACACCCCTAGTTTTTATCGATTAACTACACGAATAAAATCGTAATGTCTAGTTTATAACTCGGGACAACTGTGAAATTTAAAATTTTTTTTAATTAAATTGTAACTTATTTATTGAAAATTGATAATTAATAATAAAATCTTTAGTAATTAAAAAGTGTATATGTTTTGCAGTAATATGATAACATAACTATCGGTTGAAATTAGGAACAGATAGTGGTTTGAATATGCAATTGGCAATTTGTATTTGTAGATATGCAAAAAAGTTATAATTTTATAAAATGAAATTTAAATTTAACTAAAACAAATAATGAAATTTATATAAATAATAAATTTGTACAAACTTTTTTTTTACAAATTTCTAAAAACTTTTTTATACACAACATTGGATGTTTTATTTGTTAGTCTACCATCTTTATCTAAAATCAACAATTTTAATCATTCTCTACTTTAAACTCTAGATAAAGCAACATACAATTGCCCATGTGTGAAAACATGCTCCTTGAGAAACAAACCAACCTTCGATAACGACTGTTCTTGGCTCTTATTAATTGTCATTGCAAAACACATAGCCAATGGAAATTGTCTTCTTTTGAATTTGAACGAGATCTTGTCTTCAGAAGGAGTTAAAGACATTCTTGGAATAAAATTCTGGTTTCCAATATTACTTCCTGTGACAACCGTCAATTTCCGGTCAAGTCAAAGTCAACTAAAGTCAACAAGTCAAACCGGTCAACTCAACTAACCCTTGTATATTAGGGTTTACATTATGTTTACTATTGTACAACGCACCATCTTAACACAAGGTATCGCTTAGAAGTTTCAAGGGTTCAGAAAATCTAAACCCAAATTAGGATAAGTGATGGAACTACTCGATAAAACACTGATACATACCTTCGGGGGCGTATAACACTCATAACAAGTCATAACGGGGTTTAC